AGATTGAATGAATCCAAAAGATGCATATGAAAGCTGAATGTTTGGGGAATCTAGCAAGTATCGATATATTACTGTGGTTTAAGCCGTTTGGCTGTAATTCGTGTTCAAAGTTTAAAAAATGCTCGAAAAAGCAGATTTTCTCGAAAACTATAATACATAGATTGAATACAAAAGATGCATATGAAAGCTGAATGTTTGGGAAATCCAGCTAGTATAGCTAGCATTTCTGTGCTCTTACCCATTTTGCTGTAATACGCTTTCAAAGTTAAAATGGAGGGTGGAGAAGAAGCGCCAAATAATTACATACTTTTGAGGGAGGCGTAGTAACATCAAGTTTGGAAACCACTGCTCTAAAGTAACAGTAAACTAGCAAAAAAAACAAAATATTATTCAACTCTTCCACCAATTAAATCCCACTCGAGAAAGAGTTACTTCTTTTCCATCCTCCGAAGAAAAGTCCGAAGATTTACGAATTTCATCCACGGATAAATGAGAGAACTTTATATTGAAATTCTTTATGTAACATTAAACTCGTTTTCCACCCAGATTTTATTCAATATTTTCCCAATTTTTTTTGTGCTTTTGTTACCCCCTTTAAAACATACATTTATTATTATTTTTTTGGTATATTTCGTGGAGGCAAACTTTCATAAGCACATATTTATATTCATGCACGTATTACATTTTAATATGAATAATGGAAGCAACATGTTTTCCAGTTCCGCTTTTTTATTCCTACAGTTTCTCCTACAAATATTGCAGCGCAGCATTTTTTCCCGTTCGGAAATAATCAAACTTGCGTTGCAATTTTTACGGATATTCGTCTACTGATAAATGTTCAGTTACGCGAGGATATTTATCACGCTTTGTTCACTTTGTTTGTAGTTTATATGTTTTTTGTTGTTGTTGTTGAATAAATGAAAATGAATGGAACGGTGAACCTCATCCTCGTCTCCATCGCGATTATTGTCGGCTGTAATCGTGGAAGCATCTAAACGAGCCAAGTTTATTTCAACTAAATAAATAATTACAGTGGTTTGGGTTTCGAATTGAAACGTTTGCAAAATGGGATGGGGATGGTTTGTATCACGTTCTGTTGTATGGGGTTGTACGGGGGGGCGAGATGGGCTTTTGTTGGATGGGGGATGGCATCGGATTGTGTAAACGTAGGGCATGCCTTGGAACAAAAGCAGTGAGTCAAAAGAAACGCGGGGAACGTTTAAAATTTATGACCGACGTCCTAGTTTGTAAGTCATGCTTTACCACTACTTCTAGCTTCTACTGCTGCCACTGTATACGTAAACACGATTATTCAAGGAAGTGCATAAATCAGAGAAGGGATCGATGACTTCCTCGACGGACATTGAAGAAGAAAAAGGACACGACATCCTATTATAGAAGGACGTTATTTATTGTTGCCGTCCATGCATTTTATTCCTCCTTACATTGAAATTAATCTTAACATAGTCAGCAAGATCGACGCACAAACACATCTTTTATAACTTATAGATTTATAACACATGATTCTTAATAATTAAAAATCTGATTTAATATTATTGCAAATGGTTGCAAAATTGTGAATTTAATTATAAAAGAAATTCAACTTTGCTTTGCGTCAAATTGATAACTGAAAAGTTAAGTAAAATACAAAATTTGAGATATTTCAGTATAATTAAATATGAAATTGTCGTGTTTTGATTGATTTACTTAAGTCTAATTGTTTCAATTAATGAAATTATTTGCAAAATTGAATACAAACACGTTTCTGCCAATTCAAAATATTAATTTGTATTTCATTGAGAAAGTGGTGGATTACTGAAAATAACCTATTGAAGTATACGAAAATTGAGAAATTTCAGTACAATTTTGAAAATAGAATTAAACTTCTGGTAATAATAACATCAAATTGTCGTGTTTTCTAAATGTTGCCAGGATTATATAAACATTTTTTTAATTGATTTACTTAAGTCTAATTGTTTCACTTAATGAAATTATTTGCAAAATTGAATACAAACACGTTTCTGCCAATTCGAAATATTAATTTGTATTTTATTGAGAAAGTGGTGGATGCGCCGGGTATTACTGAAAATAACCTATTGAAGTATACGAAAATTGAGAAATTTCAGTACAATTTTAATAGAAAATAGAATTAAACTTCTGGTAATAATAACATCAAATTGTCGTGTTTTCTAAATTTGATATTATTGATATTATTTGTAATTTCAGTACAATTTTGAAAATAGAATTAAACTTCTGGTAATAATAACATCAAATTGTCGTGTTTTCTAAATTTTGTCAGGATTATATAAACATATTTTTATTGAAATTAATCTTAGCATAATCAGCACATGCAAGATCGACGCACAAAAACATCTTTTATAACTTATAGATTTTCAATTTCCTTATAAAAATGTACAGAAAATACGAAATATTTGATAAAAAACATCAATTTCAATATATATAAATTTCAATTACTGAAAGTATAGAAAAATATTCACTTATTTCACAGCATTATTATACAATAAATATTGCTTTGTGAACCGAATTTTTAATAATCTGCACATAAATATTCTTTATATTATTAAACAATTATCATTCAATTATTAATATTAATTATAATTACTTTAGAATTTATTCAAATTGGAATTGAGATGTTTTTTCTTGTTGTTGAAATCTGGAATTATTCGATTGGATTTCTCTGCGATTTCATAAACACATCACGCAAAACGCGGATGCAGAAAGAAGATAATAATAATCCGATCTCGGGCCATAATTCCATAACCCGATTCGGGCCCATCTTATTCCAGTTATCAATGGATTTATTCGCCAGGGTTTTTCGAAGCTGTGTGTGTGTGTGCAGGGTTGTCGGGAGCTTCGAAGATTTATTATGTAACCCGTTGACTCGAAACTGGTGCCAGTGGAGGACAGCGAAGGCCATTTGTTTGACACGAAACACACAGTCGATGTTCACGTACGTCCAATGATTAATGGCATCCGAATCCGACGTGTTTTCCTTTCTTTCAATAATCCATTCGGACAAAGTTCCTTCTTTTTCACTTGTCAATTTGTTAACTAAAGTCTATCATAAATAAATATATCTCCAAAACTTTACGCGAAAATCCATATTTCAATATCAGAGGAATCAATTTATCATTATTGTAAAGCAATTCCGTTTTCTTGCTTGAGACAGATACAATATCATTGTTATTATTTCTCAAAGACTGTTATTATTTTTAAAGGATCAATGGAAATACATAAAGCAAAATATTTAATGTCTTATACATAACAGAGAAACGACGGTTTTTTTTCAGTGTTTTCTCACCTTTCCAACGCTCCTACATACATCTTTGTAGTTATATCGAGTCGCCTGTTATAAGCTGAAGAACATTTTTTTTCGTTTTTTATTTAGTTTTTACAGTTTTTCGTGATTTTCTCGACAAATCCTTAAGATAGTTACATCAACGACAACTCGTATGAAAGCTGAATATTTTGTCTTTCCAACAAGCCTACATACATCTTAGTGCTGTTATCGAGTGGCCTGCTATAAGCAGTAGAAATTGAAAAAACACATACTTAACATCTTATACATAACAGAGAAATGACGGTTTTCTCGTTTTTGTTTCAGTGTTTTCGGTTTTTCATGAATTTCTCGACAACCCCTAAAGGTAATTAAATCATAGAACACTCGTATGAAAGCTGAATATCTCACCTTTCCAACGCGCCTACATACNNNATTACATCATCGACCACTCGTATGAAAGCTGAATGTCTCACCTATCCAACGAGTCTACTTGCATCTTTGTACTGTCATCGAGTCGCCTGCTATAAGCTGTAGAAAATGGAAAAAAAGTGAATTGAATTTACACAAAAACTAGATTTTCGTTAAGAACTCAAAAAGTAATAAACTTTTTATGATTTTATTGCATAATCACATGCACGCAAGCGTTGCGCAACCTTCTATGTTACAAAAGTTACGTAATGTTTGTTACGTAACAGAGAAACGACGTTTTTTCGATTTTTTTTCAGTTTTTCGTTAATAACTCGCCAAAAACTAGATTTTCGTTAATAACTCGAAAAGTAATAAACTTTTTTATGATTTTATTGCATAATCACATGCACGCAAGTGTTGCGCAACTTTCTATG